TCCCTCCCTCCTTCCCTCCCTCCTTCCCTCCCTCCTTCCCTCCCTCTCTCTCTCTCTCTCTCTCATCTGCCCCCAGAGAAGGGAGACGCGTCAGGAACTTGCAAGATGAGCCGCTTCTCAAGTGTCAGCTAAGGGGAACGAAATTCGGTGCAAATCAATTATTGCAGACTTTAAAAGAAGAAGGAGAAGAAGAAGAAGAAGTCAACACCCACCGTCAGCCGAGCCAGCTCACCAACCCTGCCCCCTCTCTTCCCCTTCCTCTCCTCGGCCCATCACTTCGCTGGCTACCCGTCCATCTAACCCTCCAGCCAACCAACTGGCCTCCTTCTCCTTTTCAAGACCCACTCGTTCCCGGTGAGCTCATATTTAATTACCTTAATGTTGTGAATGAATAAATGATGCCCCAGATGAATAGCTGATGGTATGCACTAAATAATTGAAAGAGCCTCATAACTTTGCCCTCGAGGGGATTGGAGGTGGAGATTTTCCTAATCATGAAATTAATAATGGTCAGAACCAAAGGAGGGATGGATTGAAACCTTTGATTCCAACCATTAAATATGGGCTTTGTGGCTAGCACCAAGCCAAGGAGTGTGGAGCAACCCTCCCAGAGTCCTTTGGATGCAAACTGGTGGGCCTTGAAAGAGTCAAGGTGCTGGATGCTCTAGCAATAACACAAGCAGAACCACAAAGGTGTTCCGGAATTAATGCCCTTGAGATGTTCTCCAGCAGAGACCATTCCGATTTAATTGACTTTTCTTCCCATAATTCCCAGCTTCTAGGTATTGGGGAACAGAAGGTGGCTCAGATCATGGTGCTGCCTGCCTTCTCATAGCCAGACCGATTTGTTCCTTAGGCCTTGTTCCTAGAAGCCTCACCATCAGGTGCTTTTTATTGTAGCTTTCCCAGGTTTATCTGGGAAAGTGAATCCATGGAGAATTGGCCTCCTTTGAATAACACTTGGGGCTTCCAGGTCACAGCATTGTTAATGGGCAGAGCAAGCAGGAGGAATTTAACAAAAATCCAGACCTAGAGCAAATTCTTAAGTTCAAGAAGCTTGGAATCAGTCACCAACTGGCTTCACTACCACACTTCTTTGGTTTTGACTTACCCTGTTGTGTGAACTCAGCCTTGGGTTTATTAACTATGGCTAGATGACTGTAATTATGATATGCTTACACAGGGATAATTAGCAAGATATTGTTTGTGATATCAGCTTCACTAGGTAAATCAGACCAGGAAATTAAAACTATTTTTATTGAGATTGGTGTAATAACAAAATCTGATTGTGTTGTGTCTCTCTCCACCTCCTTACATTCCAGTGAATCAGAAACTGCTTCCAAACATTATTTCATTGTTTTGAACTTGAAAAATGTTTCAGCCCCTTTTGCCTAGGTAGGAGGTGATAGTTCTTGCATATTTCCATCCCATTAAGGTTATTTTCCCTCATTCTCTATAGGAAAATGAAAAGGATGAAATTAGGAATCAAGATTATGCACACACACTCCTGGTGAAAAGGTGGCCGAAAAAAAGAAACACGGCCGAAAAAAAGAAACACTGTTTTGAGTGCAGCTCAACTCTTTCATACAACTGTGATTGTTTTTAACCCCCATATTGGGAAACATTTTCCCATTGGCCCAATAGTTGTTGTTTTTCCCCCCCAAAAAATTACTTCATAGTCAAGCCAGCAGCCCCAGAATTACCTGATTGCCTGTCATCCAATTGCTGCGCTTGTGTGTTCTTGGATTCAACCAAAATCTACTAGTGATGCTACCTTTCTGGGTAAACTAACACATAACATGTAAAAGCAATTTAAGAAGCCTGTGATGTAACTCTACATACCCTGGAGCCAACTCATATTGAACTCAATACACTTTTCTTCTGAGCAGACTTAGTTAGAGTTGAACTTTAATGAGGCTTCAGCTTCTACTCTGAGTGGCACTAAGGGGATTAAACAATTCTGAATTATAATTCTTTCTTTTTTCCTTGCATTTCCACCTAGTACTGTCAGTTCTCCCAGCTTTTCTTTTAGAGGACTGGTTTAAGAAGCAATTATAGGCTGGCGGAAGTTAACTTGCCTGGGAGAGTAAACCAAACAATTAAAGCCCATCCAAATAAAGTTAATCTGTGTCAGGAGAACCAGCGATAAGAACAATAGAGGTGAGATAAGTGAAAAAGTGCAAACAAATACTGCAAACCAATGCCTTTCTAGTTCTTAGAAAGAATTGTTCAAATTCACTGCAGAATGTAAAGCCGATGGCCAAAGGGAATCTGTTGCAGCAAAATCAAGCAAATGTGGTGCTTAGTTTTGAAACTGGCCCCCTTAAGGAGATGGGGTGGTCGGTCCTTTGTAGTGGGGCCCAAGCAAACATACCTGGAAAATAGAACCACCACCACCACGTTTCAGACTTCCACCCCAGACTCATATCTCTTTAGCTAGAAATATCCCAGGGGCATTTATTTCCAGCTACAATGTTTGAGCATTTTTATATTTTGTATGTGACATCCTTCAGTTTTCCCCTGTTCTATGAATGTGGATAAATGTGCTTTGTCCAACCATCTTCCTTCACAGAGGCAGAAATGTTTGGGGTTGCAGTCTTTGGCTTCAGTCCCAGAGCTACAGCTCACTTGTTTGGAAAACTGGATTAGAGATTTAGATTTATTCTTAATTTATGGATCTGGTCCATGTACATCTCCCATATTGCTGTAAAAGGCCATCCAGTATCTTTTGGCTTCTCCTCTAGAAAATATAGGTGAGGATTGAACCAATATATTTGCTCAGGATTAATTTTGCTATCATTTTCTCATTGCTGCACACAAAATCATAAACCAAGCACACTTGGCTGCATTTTTAACCTTGAGTTAAAGGTGTTCAGCTAGTTTGTGGTTGGCTGTGGGATGGGAACAGACCAACTGGCAGAGAAGAGCTGGGAATGGAGCAGAAGTGATGACTGCTTAAGCCCTATTTTGCTCAGTAATGTTTGGAGAGACTCCATGCATATCATCTTCTTTTCTAAAAGGCTCTGGATTCTCCCCCTGCAGAGCAATAAGAAATGGGCAGCTTTGCTCAAGAAAAAAAGAATGGTACAAACTCATAGGTTTACTTTGGAGCCAACCCCGTTACTTCAAGGAAAGCTGACTCCCTGGATAGTTAAAACATTCCCTTGAAGTCCAGCTCCTGGGAACTTCATCGAGGGATCATGTGGTTTGCTTGGCAACAGTATGAAAATGGGTTAACGTTATCTTTTTTTTTCCTCTGGGATTTTTCCTTTTTCCTTCCTTCCTGCGTTCCCTCCCAGTCTAACCTACAGCCTTGAGACTTCTCGCTGGTGTCCCATTCATTTAGTATTTGGAGATCAGCCAAACTTGGCTGAGCATAAGAATGTAGCTTGTTAATTCAATCTTATGTATATTTATGTGGAAGAAAACTTTCGTTGAAGAAGTGGAGCTTCCTTCCAAGTAAATGGTTGCAAGCCTCCCATGGGACTATTTGTGAGATGGGCAGCCATATAAATATGACTGATTAATTAATTAATTAATTAATTAATTAATTAATTAATGATGTAAAAATAAAGTTTAAACCCTGTTTGGGTCACTTGCCTTAATAACCCCTCTCCCCATCCACCACAAATACACATACACATACACAAACACACAAACTACATAAAGTCAGAACAAAATGTTTATTGCTCTTTTGTGTCCCCATCTAATTTTTATAGTTTGAAATTAGTCTTCTCTAAACTGCCTCTAGGACTCATATGGAAGGGATCTCATAGGGGAAACCTATGCTGTAATACCGATGTGGTAGTGCTGTGT